TTTGCTGCAGTTAGTTAACATTTACATGTCTTATCCCTGCCTAGGTCTTTGACTACAGTAGACTGTGAAGGAGATACAGTACACTTAAACACTCATCTCTTTGTCACTCTGTTATTCTCAGCATACCCCTTATTAGCACATGAGCACTGCAGCATACCTGACTGTCTTCTTTTGCTTCTTTTCCCTTTCCCAGTCTAAACCTCACTGTAAAGGAGATTGCAGGAGACTAATGCCAAGTCAGATTCAGATACCTACACGGTTTGCATGTAAATAGTATAGTTGCTGATAAATTAGGGAATACAGAGGCACAATAATTAGAATCTTTATAGCTGCCTGAAATTCAGCTTTAATGATCAACTTGTTTCCTGATATTCATTGATTAAACAATATCTATGATCAGCCAGAGTACTATCATATTAGCTTCAAGTTTTAACAGCTGTTCATTGTAGTACTAAAAAAGAAATGATGTGTCAAAGAACAGAGACCATGTATAATTTGCATTGGAAGAGTTTATTTTAAGTATTAAAACAAAGCAGAAGACAGATCTTCAACATACAATAACCATTAAAGAGAGCACTACAACTGCACTGAGACAAGAGTCACCTACAGATGCTGCACCATATGATCGAGGAACATGACAATCATGTGATCACTTCTAGGCTGTTAAAGACGCAGAATACAGAACACTTAAAAAGATTTTTACAGGATTCCATTTTGCTTGAGCAGACACAACTTCCGATGGAATTGTTAGTGATTTTGAATACACATCTATTAATCCATGGGCACTTCTTGTTCTTTGACTTTGGTTGCCACAACCTTTCCATTCTCATAGACTTCTTCAATCACCTTTACTTTCTTTGTGCGTTTTGTTCCTAAACATAAAAGAGAATAGAGGCATTGCTTGAATTTTGTTTTATGACATGAGGCATCTGTGTTTAGATTTAGCACTTGTGCTTAGTAACTTTCATTCACAAATTGTATTTATAAAACCAGTGTTCTTACAAGGAATGATGGGTCTAACTACTAGATGACCCCTTTGCAAAGGAGTTGAAAACCCCCTTTAATGATTATCAAGATTGCTCCATGTTTGTCAGTGTCCACCTGTTCCCTCATGAATTTACTGGACACCTCTAATATATTTTGCCTGCAAGCCTAGGGCACAACTGCTCATTTG